GGCTCCTGATTGGCCGAGAGCAGAGAGAGGAGCAGACCCTGGTGTGGGGGGTAGGATCCTGACGGGTCTATATTAGCCCTGGTGAGTCACTGCAGTCCGGGCATACCAGGTGTCTGCATTTCATGCCATATAAGTCCACCCCCCCCCCCCCCCCCCCCCGCACCCCCCCCCCCCGGCCCTGCGTTTCCCCCACAATGCCACACTGCTATCTCCTTCTATTCTTAGGCTGTCACTTCGGCGCGTCCGACCAGGCAGGTTCCCCCGTCTTTAAACTCACTTCTTCTGCTTCTCGGCCTTTCTTCTGATTTTGACGTCTCTGTGTGTGTTGTGTGTGTCTAGCTGCCGTGGGCTGTGTGTATCCGGTTGTGTTGCCGTGAGTCTGCAGAAGAATGAGCTGCTACACCGTGTCTCTGCCAGGACCCGGGCCCTGGGGCTTCAGGCTGCAGGGGGGCAAGGACTTCAACATGCCCCTCACCATCTCCAGGGTGAGTCTGCTGGTCTGCTCTCATTCAGATGTCTGCAGTAAAACCCCATTGGAATAGATGTGCAAGAGTCCCCAGTGTGTAGCAGACAAGCTAAACATGTACAAGATCATGAAAGTGTTTTGTTCAGACTGAAGGCAGTTTGTGGAAAGAAGTTGTTTGCAAATAGAGAGCGTCGTCTGCCAGAGGGAAGAAGCTGGAACAGAAGACTCATTGATTATTCTAAGAGCTGGATTTAAGAGTCTGGATTCATTCTTTCAGAGCAGAGCACCTCTCTTTGGTCTCTCTCTGGTCTCTCTCTGGTCTCTCTCTCTGGTCTCTCTCTCTGGTCTCTCTCTGGTCTCTCTCTGGTCTCTCTCTGGTCACCCTCTGGTCTCTCTCTGGTCTCTCTTTGGTCTCTCTTTGGTCTCTCTCTGGTCTCTCTCTAGTCTCTATCTGGTCTCTTTGGTCTCTCTCTGGTCTCTATCTGGTCTCTCTGGTCTCTCTCTGGTCTCTCTTTGGTCTCTCTCTGGTCTCTCTCTGGTCTCTCTCTGGTCTCTCTCTGGTCTCTCTCTGGTCTTTCTCTGGTCTCTCTCTAGTCTCTCTCTGGTCTCTCTCTAGTCTCTCTCTGGTCTCTCTTTGGTCTCTCTCTGGTCTCTCTCTGGTCTCTCTCTGGTCTCTCTCTCTGGTCTCTCTCTGGTCTCTCTCTCTGGTCTCTCTCTAGTCTCTCTCTGGTCTCCCTCTGGTCTCTCTCTGGTCTCTCTTTGGTCTCTCTCTGGTCTATTTCTGGTCTCTCTCTGGTCTCTCTTTCTGGTCGCACTCTTGTCTCTTTTTCTGGTTTCTCTCTGGTCTCTCTTTGGTCTCTCTCTGGTCTCTCTCTGGTCTCTCTCTGGTCTCTCTCTCTGGTCTCTCTCTGGTCTCTCTCTCTAGTCTCTCTCTGGTCTCTCTCTGGTCTCTCTCTAGTCTCTCTCTGGTCTCTCTCTCTGGTCTCTCTCTGGTCTCTCTCTGGTCTCTCTCTGGTCTCTCTCTGGTCTCTCTCTGGTCTCTCTCTGGTCTCTCTCTGGTCTCTCTCTGGTCTCCCTCTAGTCTCTCTCTGGTCTCTCTCTGGTCTCTCTCTGGTCTCTCTCTGGTCTCTCTCTGGTCTCTCTCTGGTCTCTCTCTGGTCTCTCTCTGGTCTCTCTCTGGTCTCTCTCTGGTCTCTCTCTGGTCTCTCTCTGGTCTCCCTCTAGTCTCTCTCTGGTCTCTCTCTGGTCTCTCTCTGGTCTCTCTCTGGTCTCTCTCTGGTCTCCCTCTAGTCTCTCTCTGGTCTCTCTCTGGTCTCTCTCTGGTCTCTCTTTGGTCTCTCTCTGGTCTCTCTCTGGTCTCTCTCTGGTCTCTCTCTGGTCTCTCTCTGGTCTCTCTCTGGTCTCTCTCTCTGGTCTCTCTCTGGTCTCTCTCTGGTCTCTCTCTGGTCTCTCTCTGGTCTCTCTCTCTAGTCTCTCTCTGGTCTCTCTCTGGTCTCTCTCTGGTCTCTCTCTGGTCTCTCTCTGGTCTCTCTCTGGTCTCCCTCTAGTCTCTCTCTGGTCTCTCTCTGGTCTCTCTCTGGTCTCTCTCTGGTCTCTCTCTGGTCTCTCTCTGGTCTCTCTCTCTAGTCTCTCTCTGGTCTCTCTCTGGTCTCTCTCTGGTCTCTCTCTGGTCTCTCTTTCTGGTCTCTCTCTGGTCTCTCTCTGGTCTCTCTCTGGTCTCTCTTTGGTCTCTCTCTGGTCTCTCTCTGGTCTCTCTCTGGTCTCTCTCTGGTCTCTCTCTGGTCTCTCTCACTGGTTTCACTTTTCTTCCACTGGTTTTAAAGTTATAGTTGTTCCTGATGCAGGAGGGTCTGAGACAGTGGGACATTTATGGTCATCTGCTCGTCATGGTCCAATGTGTGTCTGTTATCATTCCATTCTCTGTGTTTGAACTGATTCTCTGATCTGTGCTGGAGAATCGACAGCTTTGTAAAGTCCTCAGTGATAAAAACTGTTGTGATTTATCCATCCATCCATTTTCTTCCCCTTAATCCATGTCTGGGTCGGGGGGTGGCAGTCAGAGCACCAGCCCCTCACTGATCCTCCTGCAGGTGCTGAGTCCACAGGAGCTGAGAACTTTCAGTGGGGGCTTTGGGCAAAGTGGGGTTAAGTGTCTTGCCCAAGGACACAACGACAGCAGTCATCAGTGGGAGTCGTGAAGTAGGTCTTATGGTGGGCTCGAACCCACGACCTTCAGGCTCAAAGGCCAATGCTCTACCAACTGAGCTACTGTCGCCCTGTGTTGTTGTGATTTAGTGTGATACAAATGGCTGTAGACCAGGACTGAGACTGTAGACCCAGGACTGAGGCTGTAGACCAGGACTGAGGCTGTAGACCCAGGACTGAGGCTGTAGACCAGGACTGAGGCTGTAGACCAGGACTGAGGCTGTAGACCAGGACTGAGGCTGTAGACCAGGACTGAGGCTGTAGACCCAGGACTGAGGCTGTAGACCAGGACTGAGGCTGTAGACCAGGACTGAGGCTGTAGACCAGGACTGAGGCTGTAGACCAGGACTGAGGCTGTAGACCAGGACTGAGGCTGTAGACCAGGACTGAGGCTGTAGACCAGGACTGAGGCTGTAGACCAGGACTGAGGCTGTAGACCAGGACTGAGGCTGTAGACCAGGACTGAGGCTGTAGACCAGGACTGAGGCTGTAGACCAGGACTGAGGCTGTAGACCAGGACTGAGGCTGTAGACCAGGACTGAGGCTGTAGACCAGGACTGAGGCTGTAGACCAGGACTGAGGCTGTAGACCAGGACTGAGGCTGTAGATCCAGGACTGAGGCTGTAGACCCAGGACTGAGGCTGTAGACCCAGGACTGAGGCTGTAGATCCAGGACTGAGGCTGTAGACCCAGGACTGAGGCTGTAGACCCAGGACTGAGGCTGTAGACCAGGACTGAGGCTGTAGACCCAGGACTGAGGCTGTAGACCCAGGACTGAGGCTGTAGACCCAGGACTGAGGCTGTAGACCAGGACTGAGGCTGTAGACCCAGGACTGAGGCTGTAGACCCAGGACTGAGGCTGTAGACCCAGGACTGAGGCTGTAGATCCAGGACTGAGGCTGTAGACCCAGGACTGAGGCTGTAGACCAGGACTGAGGCTGTAGACCCAGGACTGAGGCCCTCAGCCACAGGAGGCCCTGGCTCCTGTGGCTGAGGGCCCTGGCTCCTGTGGCTGAGGGCCCTGGCTCCTGTGGCTGATGGTACATGTACATGTGTAACATTAGCACAGACAGAATCTCTCAGATTGTGAAAAAGACAGAAACATGTTAAAGTTTAAAGTCTGTGCAGGACATCCATCCATTTTCTTCCCCTTAATCCATTTCTGGGTCAGGGGTGGCAGCCAGAGCAGCCCCCAGTCACAGAGCACCAGCCCCTCACTGATCCTCCTGCAGGAGCCGAGTCCACAGGAGCCGAGTCCACAGGAGCCGAGTCCACAGGAGCCGAGTCCACAGGAGCCGAGTCCACAGGAGCCGAGTCCACAGGAGCCGAGTCCACAGGAGCCGAGTCCACAGGAGCCGAGTCCACAGGAGCCGAGTCCACAGGAGCCGAGTCCACAGGAGCCGAGTCCACAGGAGCCGAGTCCACAGGAGCCGAGTCCACAGGAGCCGAGTCCACAGGAGCCGAGTCCACAGGAGCTGAGTCCACAGGAGCTGAGTCCACAGGAGCTGAGTCCACAGGAGCTGAGTCCACAGGAGCTGAGTCCACAGGAGCTGAGTCCACAGGAGGATCTGTGCAGGATATAATTTTCTACAATAAACAGTGACAACAGCAGCAGGTCTTAAAGTGACTTGTTGTACAGTCTGACAGCGGTGGGGATAAAGGCCCTGCTCCTTCTTCCACTGAAGGAGCTCCTCAGCTCCTCCTCAGTCCTGTGCAGGAGGTGTTGTTCATGATGGAGGTGACTGTGACTAGCACCTCCTGTCCCTCACCTCCCCCACCTCCTCAGGGGCCTCCTGTCCCTCACCTCCTCAGGGGCCTCCTGTCCCTCACCTCCCCCACCTCCTCAGGGGCCTCCTGTCCCTCACCTCCCCCACCTCCTCAGGGGCCTCCTGTCCCTCACCTCCTCCACAGAGTCCAGGGGCCTCCTGTCCCTCACCTCCTCCACAGAGTCCAGGGGCCTCCTGTCCCTCACCTCCCCCACCTCCTCAGGGGCCTCCTGTCCCTCACCTCCCCCACCTCCTCAGGGGCCTCCTGTCCCTCACCTCCTCCACAGAGTCCAAGGGCCTCCTGTCCCTCACCTCCTCCACAGAGTCCAGGGGCCTCCTGTCCCTCACCTCCTCCACAGAGTCCAGGGGCCTCCTGTCCCTCACCTCCCCCACTTCCTCCAGGGGCCTCCTGTCCCTCACCTCCCCCACCTCCTCAGGGGCCTCCTGTCCCTCACCTCCCCCACCTCCTCCAGGGGCCTCCTGTCCCTCACCTCCCCCACCTCCTCAGGGGCCTCCTGTCCCTCACCTCCCCCACCTCCTCAGGGGCCTCCTGTCCCTCACCTCCCCCACCTCCTCAGGGGCCTCCTCAGACAGATCAGACACTGTTCAGACAAAGCTCATTGATCCCGTTTCTGATCGATGTGTTTGTTCGTGTCAGAGGACACAGCTCTGCCTCTCGTCATGTGTCTGTGAGCCGCGAGAGCAGACACAGATGCAGCTGTCACTCTCATGCTTTACTCTCTTTAAACAACCATCTGCAGCAAACAGCAAAGCAGAACAGGGCCTGGTCAGTGCTGTGATGGGAGACCGCTGAAGCTAAGCAGAACAGGGCCTGGTCAGTGCTGTGATGGGAGACTGCTGAAGCTAAGCAGAACAGGGCCTGGTCAGTGCTGTGATGGGAGACTGCTGAAGCTAAGCAGAACAGGGCCTGGTCAGTGCTGTGATGGGAGACCGCTGAAGCTAAGCAGAACAGGGCCTGGTCAGTGCTGTGATGGGAGACTGCTGAAGCTAAGCAGAACAGGGCCTGGTCAGTGCTGTGATGGGAGACCGCTGAAGCTAAGCAGAACAGGGCCTGGTCAGTGCTGTGATGGGAGACTGCTGAAGCTAAGCAGAACAGGGCCTGGTCAGTGCTGTGATGGGAGACTGCTGAAGCTAAGCAGAACAGGGCCTGGTCAGTGCTGTGATGGGAGACCGCTGAAGCTAAGCAGAACAGGGCCTGGTCAGTGCTGTGATGGGAGACTGCTGAAGCTAAGCAGAACAGGGCCTGGTCAGTGCTGTGATGGGAGACCGCTGAAGCTAAGCAGAACAGGGCCTGGTCAGTGCTGTGATGGGAGACTGCTGAAGCTAAGCAGAACAGGGCCTGGTCAGTGCTGTGATGGGAGACTGCTGAAGCTAAGCAGAACAGGGCCTGGTCAGTGCTGTGATGGGAGACTGCTGAAGCTAAGCAGAACAGGGCCTGGTCAGTGCTGTGATGGGAGACTGCTGAAGCTAAGCAGAACAGGGCCTGGTCAGTGCTGTGATGGGAGACTGCTGAAGCTAAGCAGAACAGGGCCTGGTCAGTGCTGTGATGGGAGACAGCTGGAGCTAAGCAGAACAGGGCCTGGTCAGTGCTGTGATGGGAGACAGCTGGAGCTAAGCAGAACAGGGCCTGGTCAGTGCTGTGATGGGAGACTGCTGAAGCTAAGCAGAACAGGGCCTGGTCAGTGCTGTGATGGGAGACAGCTGGAGCTAAGCAGAACAGGGCCTGGTCAGTGCTGTGATGGGAGACCGCTGAAGCTAAGCAGAACAGGGCCTGGTCAGTGCTGTGATGGGAGACCGCTGAACTGAACTGTGGTTGTGTCCTTAGGCAAGACACTTCCCCCACATTAGGTCCGGTGCTAGGTCCGGTGCTAGGTCCGGTGCTATATCCAATGTTGGGTCCGGTGCTACGTCCGGTGCTGGGTCCGGTGCTGGGTCCGGTGCTGGGTCCGGTGCTAGGTCCGGTGCTAGGGCTGGGTCCGGTGCTGGGTCCGGTGCTGGGTCCGGTGCTGGGTCCGGTGCTGGGTCCGGTGCTAGGTCCGGGTCCGGTGCTGGGTCCGGTGCTGGGTCCGGTGCTGGGTCCGGTGCTGGGTCCGGTGCTAGGTCCGGTGCTGGGTCCGGTGCTGGGTCCGGTGCTGGGTCCGGTGCTTGGTCCGGTGCTGGGTCCGGTGCTAGGTCCGGGGCTAGGTCCGGTGCGACATTTCCAACAAAGATTATTTCTGAAAACACCTTTCCAAACAGTCTGGAGTATCTGTGGAGTATACAGTATACGGCCTCTTATCATCCATGGTTAGTATATATTCTCTGGTCTCTCTCTGGTCTCTCTCTGGTCTCTCTCTCTGGTCTCTCTCTGGTCTCTCTCTCTGGTCTCTCTCTGGTCTCTCTCTGGTCTCTCTCTGGTCTCTATGGTCTCTCTCTGGTCTCTCTATGGTCTCTCTCTCTGGTCTCTCTCTGGTCTCTCTCTGGTCTCTCTCTGGTCTCTCTCTGGTCTCTCTCTGGTCTCTCTATGGTCTCTCTCTCTGGTCTCTCTCTGGTCTCTCTCTGGTCTCTCTCTGCTCTCTCTCTGGTCTCTCTCTGGTCTCTCTCTCTGGTCTCTCTCTGGTCTCTCTCTGGTCTCTCTCTCTGGTCTCTCTCTGGTCTCTCTCTCTGGTCTCTCTCTGGTCTTTCTGGTCTCTCTCTGGTCTCTGGTCTCTCTGGTCTCTCTCTGGTCTCTCTCTGGTCTCTCTCTGGTCTCTCTCTCTGGTCTCTCTCTGGTCTCTCTCTGGTCTCTCTGGTCTCTCTCTGGTCTCTGGTCTCTCTGGTCTCTCTCTGGTCTCTGGTCTCTCTGGTCTCTCTCTGGTCTCTCTCTGGTCTCTCTGGTCTCTCTCTGGTCTCTCTCTGGTCTCTCTCTGGTCTCTCTCTCTGGTCTCTCTCTGGTCTCTCTCTCTGGTCTGTCTCTGGTCTCTCTCTGGTCTGTCTCTGGTCTCTCTCTGGTCTCTCTCTGGTCTCTCTCTGGTCTCTCTGGTCTCTCTCTGGTCTCTCTCTGGTCTCTCTCTGGTCTCTCTCTGGTCTCTCTCTGGTCTCTCTCTGGTCTCTCTCTGGTCTCTCTGGTCTCTCTGGTCTCTCTCTGGTCTCTGGTCTCTCTGGTCTCTCTCTGGTCTCTCTCTGGTCTCTCCCTCTGGCCTCTCTCTGGTCTCTCTCTGGCCTCTCTCTGGTCTCTCTCTGGTCTCTCTCTGGTCTCTCTCTGGTCTCTCTCTGGTCTCTCTCTGGTCTCTCTCTGATCTCTCTCTGGTCTCTCTCTCTGGTCTCTCTCTGGTCTCTCCCTGCTCTCCCTCTGGTCTCTCTCTGGTCTCTCTCTGGTCTCGCTCTGGTCTCTCTCTGGTCTCGCTCCGGCCTCTCTTTGGTCTTGCTCTGGTCTCTCTCTGGTCTCTCTCTGGTCTCTCTCTGGTCTCTCTCTCTGGTCTTCCTCTGGTCTCTCTCTGGTCTCTCTCTGGTCTCTCTCTGGTCTCTCTCTCTGGTCTCTCTCTCTGGTCTCTCTCTGGTCTCCCTCTGGTCTCCCTCTGGTCTCTCTCTGGTCTCCCTCTGGTCTCCCTCTGGTCTCTCTCTGGTCTCGTTCTGGTCTCCCTCTGGTCTCTCCCTCTGGTCTCTCTCTGGTCTCTCCCTCTGGTCTCTCTCTGGTCTCCCTCTGGTCTCTCTCTGGTCTCTCTCTGGTCTCTCTCTGGTCTCCCTCTGGTCTCTCTCTGGTCTCTCTCTGGTCTCCCTCTGGTCTCTCTCTGGTCTCTCTCTGGTCTCCCTCTGGTCTCGCTCTGGTCCTGTACAGTTGCTGGTACAGTTGTCAGTGAAAGCTGAGCCTGTCTCTCTGAGCTGCTGAGGCGGCTGGATCCTCTTTCTCCGTGTGTCCTGTTCACACCACGGCTGCACTATTAAAACTCATCCTCTGGTTCCATGAGGAGGACCCCCTATGTCCAGACTCACGCTGCAGTAAAACCACTGTGGAATACACGTGCAAGAGTCCCCATTGTGCAGCAGACAAGTACAGACAAGCTCAAGGTCTTTGTTCAGACTGTTAGCATGTTAGCCTGTTAGCATGTCCAGATGTCCTGCAGCCAATGACATTTTCTGCCAGAGGGAAGAAGCTGGAACATGGCTTTTCCAGGAGCCAGAAGAGTCATTTATTATTCTAAGATCTGAATTTAAATCTGGATTCATAAAGAACCTCCAGAACTGACAGATCCCAGTCCTCTGTCAGACTCCTGAGGCATTATTTACCTATATTATTTTAGAGTTTATGCGACGCACGCACCCAGTCTCCGTCTGTCTGGGTCTCTGCTCTGGACCCAGGTCTCTGCTCTGGACCCAGGTCTCTCTGCTCTGGACCCAGGCCTCTGCTCTGGACCCAGGTCTCTGCTCTGGACCCAGGTCTCTCTGCTCTGGACCGTAATCTGAGCCACAGGAATCTAGAGCCAGGGCCAGATTCTGAGCCAAAAGGATATGATCCGAGCAGATGAGACCGGGCTTTCCCCAAAAGGTTTGGGTTCAGTTGTCAATAAAAACAACACCACGTCGAGGACACCAGCAGAGCCAGCGCCTGAGTGTCTGTGGTTTCTTTCTGCTGGTGCTGTAGAGGTCCAGAAGGGAGAGGCCCAGAAGGTCTGTTTGGGCCTGGATCGGCCTGTTTCAGCCTCACACTAACATTCTACACCTGCCACACAGGCACACATCAGAGGACAGGACATGTGACATCACAGAGGACAGGACATGTGACATCACAGAGGACAGGACATGTGACATCACAAGCTTTGATCATGTAGCACAGAAGTGTCAAACTCATTTTGTGTAAAACAATCAGAGCTGTTCCGGACCAAAAGTTAAAAGTGGTTTTCTTTTATTATCATTATTTTCATATTTTGACTTAATTACTTTTCTTCTTTGGATGTGATTTTCTCGTGTGTTTGGTCCAATCACAGCTGAGCAAATATGAACGATGTCACTGAAGTTTAATGGTTGAATATAAACTTCTGATTACATCTTGGTTCACATTTTAGAGAAGATTCAATGATTTAAGCTTTAAACTAAAGTATAACAGGCCATTGTCTCCAAGAGAGAGAGAGAGAGACAGAGAGAGAGAGAGAGAGAGAGAGAGAGACAGACATGTGTGTGACCTCCGTTCTAAAAACAGCTCTGGTGCTGTCAGCAGAGAGGCAGCTCCCACTGCTCTACAGTCTGTGTGTGCTCTACAGTCTCTGTGTGTGCTCTACAGTCTCTGTGTGCTCTACAGTCTGTGTGTGCTCTACATTCTCCCTCCTCTCTCACCTGTCTCTCTCCCTCCTCTCTGACCTGTCTCTCTCTCTCCTCTCTGACCTGTCTCTCTCTCTCCTCTCTCACCTGTCTCTCTCCCTCCTCTCTCACCTGTCTCTCTCCCTCCTCTCTGACCTGACTCTCTCCCTCCTCTCTCACCTGTCTCTCTCCCTCCTCTCTGACCTGTCTCTCTACATTCTCCCTCCTCTCTGACCTGTCTCTCTCCCTCCTCTCTCACCTGTCTCTCTCCCTCCTCTCTCACCTGTCTCTCTCTCTCACCTGTCTCTCTCCCTCCTCTCTGACCTGTCTCTCTCCCTCCTCTCTCACCTGTCTCTCTCCCTCCTCTCTGACCTGACTCTCTCCCTCCTCTCTGACCTGTCTCTCTCCCTCCTCTCTGACCTGTCTCTCTCCCTCCTCTCTCACCTGTCTCTCTCCCTCCTCTCTCACCTGTCTCTCTCCCTCCTCTCTGACCTGACTCTCTCCCTCCTCTCTCACCTGTCTCTCTCCATCCTCTCTCACCTGTCTCTCCACATTCTCCCTCCTCTCTCACCTGTCTCTCTCTCTCCTCTCTCACCTGTCTCTCTCCCTCCTCTCTGACCTGTCTCTCTCCCTCCTCTCTGACCTGTCTCTCTACATTCTCCCTCCTCTCTGACCTGTCTCTCTCCCTCCTCTCTCACCTGTCTCTCTCCCTCCTCTCTGACCTGTCTCTCTCTCTCCTCTCTCACCTGTCTCTCTCCCTCCTCTCTCACCTGTCTCTCTCCCTCCTCTCACATGTCTCTCTCTCTCCTCTCTCACCTGTCTCTCTCCCTCCTCTCTGACCTGTCTCTCTCCCTCCTCTCTGACCTGACTCTCTCCCTGCTCTCTCACCTGTCTCTCTCCCTCCTCTCTGACCTGTCTCTCTCTCTCCTCTCTCACCTGTCTCTCTCCCTCCTCTCTCACCTGTCTCTCTCCCTCCTCTCACCTGTCTCTCTCCCTCCTCTCTCACCTGTCTCTCTCCCTCCTCTCTCACCTGTCTCTCTCCCTCCTCTCTCACCTGTCTCTCTCCCTCCTCTCTGACCTGTCTCTCCACATTCTCCCTCCTCTCTGACCTGTCTCTCTCCCTCCTCTCTCACCTGTCTCTCTCCCTCCTCTCTGACCTGTCTCTCTCCCTCCTCTCTGACCTGTCTCTCTACATTCTCCCTCCTCTCTCTGACCTGTCTCTCTCCCTCCTCTCTCACCTGTCTCTCTCTCTCCTCTCTCACCTGTCTCTCTCTCTCCTCTCTCACCTGTCTCTCTCTCTCCTCTCTCACCTGTCTCTCTCCCTCCTCTCTCACCTGTCTCTCTCCCTCCTCTCTGACCTGTCTCTCTCCCTCCTCTCTGGCCTGTCTCTCTCCCTCCTCTCTGACCTGTCTCTCTCCCTCCTCTCTGACCTGTCTCTCTCCCTCCTCTCTCACCTGTCTCTCTCCCTCCTCTCTCACCTGTCTCTCTCCCTCCTCTCTCACCTGTCTCTCTCTCTCCTCTCTCACCTGTCTCTCTCCCTCCTCTCTCACCTGTCTCTTTCCCTCCTCTCTCACCTCTCTCTCTCTCTCCTCTCTCACCTGTCTCTCTCCCTCCTCTCTGACCTGACTCTCTCCCTCCTCTCTCACCTGTCTCTCTCCCTGCTCTCTGACCTGTCTCTCTACATTCTCCCTCCTCTCTGACCTGTCTCTCTCCCTCCTCTCTCACCTGTCTCTCTCCCTCCTCTCTCTCACCTGTCTCTCTCTCTCACCTGTCTCTCTCCCTCCTCTCTGACCTGTCTCTCTCCCTCCTCTCTCACCTGTCTCTCTCCCTCCTCTCTGACCTGACTCTCTCCCTCCTCTCTGACCTGTCTCTCTCCCTCCTCTCTGACCTGTCTCTCTCCCTCCTCTCTCACCTGTCTCTCTCCCTCCTCTCTGACCTGACTCTCTCCCTCCTCTCTCACCTGTCTCTCTCCATCCTCTCTCACCTGTCTCTCCACATTCTCCCTCCTCTCTCACCTGTCTCTCTCTCTCCTCTCTCACCTGTCTCTCTCCTCCTCTCTGACCTGTCTCTCTCCCTCCTCTCTGACCTGTCTCTCTACATTCTCCCTCCTCTCTGACCTGTCTCTCTCTCTCTCTCACCGTCTCTCTCCCTCCTCTCTGACCTGTCTCTCTCTATCCTCTCTCACCTGTCTCTCTCCCTCCTCTCTCACCTGTCTCTCTCCCTCCTCTCACATGTCTCTCTCTCTCCTCTCTCACCTGTCTCTCTCCCTCCTCTCTGACCTGTCTCTCTCCCTCCTCTCTGACCTGACTCTCTCCCTGCTCTCTCACCTGTCTCTCTCCCTCCTCTCTCACCTGTCTCTCTCCTCCTCTCTACCTGTCTCTCTCTCTCTCTCCCTTCTCTCCCTCCTCTCTCACCTGTCTCTCTCCCTCCTCTCTCACCTGTCTCTCTCCTCCTCTCTCACCTGTCTCTCTCCCTCCTCTCTCACCTGTCTCTCCTCCTCCTCTCTCACCTTCTCTCTCTCCCTCCTCTCTCACCTGTCTCTCTCCCTCCTCTCTGACCTGTCTCTCCACATTCTCCCTCCTCTCTCACCTGTCTCTCTCCCTCCTCTCTGACCTGTCTCTCTACATTCTCCCTCCTCTCTGACCTGTCTCTCTCCCTCCTCTCTCACCTGTCTCTCTCTCTCCTCTCTGACCTGTCTCTCTCTCACCTCTCTCACCTGTCTCTCTCCCTCCTCTCTCACCTGTCTCTCTCTCCTCTCTCACCTGTCTCTCTCCCTCCTCTCTGACCTGTCTCTCTCCCTCCTCTCTGGCCTGTCTCTCTCCCTCCTCTCTGACCTGTCTCTCTCCCTCCTCTCTGACCTGACTCTCTCCCTCCTCTCTCACCTGTCTCTCTCCCTCCTCTCTCACCTGTCTCTCTCCCTCCTCTCTGGCCTGTCTCTCTCCCTCCTCTCTGACCTGTCTCTCTCCCTCCTCTCTGACCTGACTCTCTCCCTCCTCTCTCACCTGTCTCTCTCCCTCCTCTCTGACCTGACTCTCTCCCTCCTCTCTCACCTGTCTCTCTCCCTCCTCTCTCACCTGTCTCTCTCCCTCCTCTCTCACCTGTCTCTCTCTCTCCTCTCTCACCTGTCTCTCTCCCTCCTCTCTCACCTGTCTCTCTCCCTCCTCTCTCACCTCTCTCTCTCTCTCCTCTCTCACCTGTCTCTCTCCCTCCTCTCTCACCTGTCTCTCTCCCTCCTCTCTGACCTGTCTCTCTCCCTCCTCTCTGACCTGTCTCTCTCCCTGCTCTCTCACCTGTCTCTCTCTCTCCTCTCTCACCTGTCTCTCTCCCTCCTCTCTCACCTGTCTCACCCATCTGCTGAAAGTGGAGGTTCTGCTGTAATGAGAGTTAGAGTCAGCAGCTGCTGTGGTTATTATTAGAGTATTAATACTCAGTGGATACAGTCTGTGTTCAGTCTGTGTTCAGTCTGTGTTCAGTCTGTGTTCAGTCTGTGTTCAGTCTGTGTACAGTCTGTGTACAGTCTGTGTACAGTCTGTGTACAGTCTGTGTACAGTCTGTGTACAGTCTGTGTACAGTCTGTGTACAGTCTGTGTACAGTCTGTGTACAGTCTGTGTTCAGTCTGTGTACAGTCTGTGTACAGTCTGTGTTCAGTCTGTGTTCAGTCTGTGTTCAGTCTGTGTTCAGTCTGTGTTCAGTCTGTGTACAGTCTGTGTTCAGTCTGTGTTCAGTCTGTGTAAGTAAGTAAGTAAGTTTTTATTTATATACCGCCTTTTCACTGCAGATCTGAGTCTCAAAGCGGTTTTACAATTGTTAATTTTGGGCATTTGTCTCTCACTCCACACAGAGATGGGAGCGGGGCCAGTACAGGAGGCGCATGCTAGAACTATTGGACATATTTTTAGTGGTAGGGGAAACCGGAGTACCCGGAGGAAACCTACGCAGACACGGGGAGAACATGCAAACTCCACTCAGAAAGGCCCTGGTCCGGGCGGGATTCGAACCCAGGACCTTCTTGCTGAGAGGCGAGAGTGCTATCCACTCAGCCACCGTGCCGCCCGTCTGTGTTCAGTCTGTGTTCAGTCTGTGTACAGTCTGTGTTCAGTCTGTGTTCAGTCTGTGTACAGTCTGTGTACAGTCTGTGTTCAGTCTGTGTTCAGTCTGTGTTCAGTCTGTGTTCAGTCTGTGTTCAGTCTGTGTACAGTCTGTGTACAGTCTGTGTTCAGTCTGTGTTCAGTCTGTGTACAGTCTGTGTACAGTCTGTGTACAGTCTGTGTTCAGTCTGTGTACAGTCTGTGTTCAGTCTGTGTTCAGTCTGTGTTCAGTCTGTGTTCAGTCTGTGTTCAGTCTGTGTTCAGTCTGTGTACAGTCTGTGTTCAGTCTGTGTTCAGTCTGTGTTCAGTCTGTGTTCAGTCTGTGTTCAGTCTGTGTTCAGTCTGTGTACAGTCTGTGTTCAGTCTGTGTTCAGTCTGTGTTCAGTCTGTGTTCAGTCTGTGTTCAGTCTGTGTACAGTCTGTGTACAGTCTGTGTACAGTCTGTGTTCAGTCTGTGTACAGTCTGTGTACAGTCTGTGTACAGTCTGTGTTCAGTCTGTGTACAGTCTGTGTTCAGTCTGTGTTCAGTCTGTGTACAGTCTGTGTTCAGTCTGTGTTCAGTCTGTGTTCAGTCTGTGTTCAGTCTGTGTTCAGTCTGTGTACAGTCTGTGTACAGTCTGTGTTCAGTCTGTGTTCAGTCTGTGTACAGTCTGTGTACAGTCTGTGTTCAGTCTGTGTACAGTCTGTGTTCAGTCTGTGTTCAGTCTGTGTTCAGTCTGTGTTCAGTCTGTGTTCAGTCTGTGTTCAGTCTGTGTTCAGTCTGTGTTCAGTCTGTGTTCAGTCTGTGTTCAGTCTGTGTTCAGTCTGTGTACAGTCTGTGTTCAGTCTGTGTACAGTCTGTACTGTGTCTGTGGCTGCGGCTGTAGCTGTCTGTCACATCCTACACTTCTGCACAGTCACATAATCCACCCTGAGACCTGGTCCAGACCAGACCACTGCCTCCCCCTGGTCCAGATCCAGTCCAGAGGTCAGAGGTCAGGGGGTGGAGTGGGTGCGGCCTCAGCAGGGTCAGAGGTCAGGGGGTGTGGCTGGAGCCTGGAATAGCAGAGTGAGGAGTGACATGTGTGAGCGAGGGTCAGTCTGAGGCAGCTGCAGGGGGCACACTGCAGAGACCAGCCCCCAGAGCTGCCCCAGAGCTGCCCCAGAGCTGCCCCAGAGCTGCCCCAGAGCTGCCCCAGAGCTGTCCCAGAGCTGCCCCAGAGCTGCCCCAGAGCTGTCCCAGAGCTGCCCCAGAGCTGCCCCAGAGCTGCCCCAGAGCTGTCCCAGAGCTGTCCCAGAGCTGCCCCAGAGCTGCCCCAGAGCTGTCCCAGAGCTGCCCCAGAGCTGTCCCAGAGCTGTCCCAGAGCTGCCCCAGAGCTGTCCCAGAGCTGTCCCAGAGCTGCCCCAGAGCTCCCCCAGACTGCCCCAGAGCTGTCCCAGAGCTGTCCCAGAGCTGTCCCAGAGCTGTCCCAGAGCTGTCCCAGAGCTGTCCCAGAGCTGCCCCAGAGCTGTCCCAGAGCTGTCCCAGAGCTGTCCCAGAGCTTCCCCAGAGCTGTCCCAGAGCTGTCCCAGAGCTGCCCCAGAGCTGCCCCAGAGCTGCCCCAGAGCCACCCCAGACTGCCCCAGACTGCCCCAGAGCTATCCCAGAGCTGCCCCAGAGCTCCCCTAGACTGCCCCAGAGCTATCCCAGAGCTGCCCCAGAGCGTGTGTGAAGATGTTTCATACATGTTACTGTGATCCAGGCCATATGATCTAACCCCAGCCTGGTCCAAAGCACTGCAGACTAACACAGCTTTAAAACCTGGTCCCAACTAAAAGTCTGGGTCTGGTCCCTTCGTCAGGTCCAGATGAAGGTCTGGGTCTGGTCCCTTCGTCAGGTCCAGATGAAGGTCTGGGTCTGGTCCCTTCGTCAGGTCCAGATGAAGGCCTGGGTCTGGTCCCTTCGTCAGGTCCAGATGAAGGCCTGGGTCTGGTCCCTTCGTCAGGTCCAGATGAAGGCCTGGGTCTGGTCCCTTCGTCAGGTCCAGATGAAGGCCTGGGTCTGGTCCCTTCGTCAGACTCTGCTGACGTCCGTCCTCTGCAGTTTTTAGGTTAAAGGCTTTGATCGCGGCGGATCGACTCCATCACATTGATTACTTCACAGAAAACAATAAACTTGATGCTTTCAGCTTCTCCACAGAGCTCGCTCCATGATGTGTGCGTGACCCGCGACTTTGAGAGAGACCAGGACCGGATTATCCTAAATCTCACTCTCATGTAGTGGCGGGAAAGTATCGCCTCTGTTCAGTATCGCAATATTCAGTCCACACGATTAAATAAAATACTGTGATATTTAATTAGATAATGATCTGCTGTGACTCTATGATGTCTGTTGTGACTCTATGATGTCTGTTTTTACTCTATGATGTCTGTTGTGACTCTATGATGTCTGTGACTCTATGATGTCTGCTGTGAGTCTATGATGTTGTGACTCTATGATGTCTGCTGTGACTCTATGATGTCTGTGACTCTATGATGTCTGCAGTGACTCTATGATGTCTGCAGTGACTCTATGATGTCTGCTGTGACTCTATGATGTTGTGACTCTATGTGTGCTGTGACTCTATGATGTTGTGACTCTATGATGTCTGCTGTGACTCTATGATGTCTGCTGTGACTCTATGATGTCTGTTGTGACTCTATGATGTCTGCTGTGACTCTATGATGTCTGTTGTGACTCTATGATGTCTGTTGTGACTCTGATGTCTGCTGTGACTCTATGATGTCTGCTGTGACTCTATGACGTCTGTTGTGACTCTATGATGTCTGTTGTGACTCTATGTCTGTTGTGACTCTATGATGTCTGCAGTGACTCTATGACGTCTGCTGTGACTCTATGATGTCTGCTGTGACTCTGTCTGTTGTGACTCTATGATGTCTGTTGTGACTCTATGATGTCTGATGTGACTCTATGACATCTGCTGTGACTCTATGACGTCTGTTGTGACTCTATGATGTCTGTTGTGACTCTGATGTCTGCAGTGACTCTATGATGTCTGTTGTGACTCTATGATGTCTGCTGTGACTCTATGATGTCTGTTCTGACTCTATGATGTCTGTTGTGACTCTATGTCTGTTGTGACTCTATGATGTCTGCTGTGACTCTATGATGTCTGCTGTGACTCTATGACGTCTGTTGTGACTCTATGATGTCTGTTGTGACTCTATGATGTATGTTGTGACTCTATGTCTGTTGTGACTCTATGATGTCTGCTGTGACTCTATGATGTCTGTTGTGACTCTATGATGTCTGTTGTGACTCTGTCTGTTGTGACTCTATGACGTCTGCTGTGACTCTATGACGTCTGTTGTGACTCTATGATGTCTGTTGTGACTCTGTCTGTTGTGACTCTATGACGTCTGCAGTGACTCTATGACGTCTGCTGTGACTCTATGATGTCTGCTGTGACTCTGTCTGTTGTGACTCTATGATGTCTGTTGTGACTCTATGATGTCTGATGTGACTCTATGACATCTGCTGTGACTCTATGACGTCTGTTGTGACTCTATGATGTCTGTTGTGACTCTATGATGTCTGCTGTGACTCTATGATGTCTGTTGTGACTCTATGATGTCTGTTGTGACTCTGTCTGTTGTGACTCTATGACGTCTGCTGTGACTCTATGACGTCTGTTGTGACTCTATGATGTCTGTTGTGACTCTGTCTGTTGTGACTCTATGA